GCGAAGGCTTTGTATTTTTCCATACCATATCAGCGTTTTCGAGCGTTTAAGTATGGACGGGGAAAAGCTCCGAAAACGGTAGTGTGAACGCGAAGCATTTAACTCGTTTTCGCTAAGTGCGTGGTTAAATGGGTAAACGGGCAGAGCGCCATTTTTTTTAACCAGTCAGTCTCATGAACGCTCTGGCTAACTTGAATAGCACTCCGGATAGCCTGAACGTCACTCCGCTTTGCCTAAATAGCTCTCCAATGAGCCGGTCCCCGTTAGTGGCCCCGTACTCTGTAGTTTAGCCCGAATGTGTTGCATTCGTAATACCGTTCGGTTTCATCTCCATATCTTCTGAAGCCGCAGACGGGGAATCAACAGTATATGGCTTTATACTACTATTCCGCGCGCGAAAAGGCGCGTGCAACTTTCCCGCGTGTCTCGGAAACAAATTCTTGAGTTGCTCTTCGATAGCTTTGATTTGTTCCTCGCCTTTCTTGTCTTTGTGCTTCTCGAACAAACTTTCGATCAGCTGTTCAGCATCTGCCTCTGCAAGTGGTTTGATTTTGTCGTTGAAAAGAGTCACGGCTTTCTCTGCTTCGTATTCTTGGAAAGCATACTTCCCTTGTAGTTTCGGGTCAACTGGTAAACACAAGCGATAAACCGTGACGAAGACTGTGGAGACAATAACAAGTCCGAGAATCAAGCCCCATGCGATAAACTGCGACGCAGTCTTCGCTTGAGAGAATTCTTTATTCACGGCATCTTTCAGGGCGGTTGTGGTTGCCTTGGCAAGTGCTGTATCCAGAGGTCCGAGTTTGGCGCAAACGTAATAATCTTCTTCGACAAAAGCGTACACTAGCCATATAACTGGCGGCAAACAAGATACAAACAGACTGTTCTTTGCCTTCAAGAACAGCAATTTCTTCCTACGGCATCTTAACAAACAACAGCCTGTTACCGCTTGCCAAAACGGAGTGGAAGCTAACAGCGCTAAACAGAACAGCAAAATCGACGGACCAAGGATAAAAAGGATGCCGTATACCTTAAAATTTTCCTCGGGACACGAAAATACGATGTCGCCCAAGAACTCGTTGACGCCGTACAAAACCAGTGTGGCGACAACTGTTTTGAATGGCACTTCGTTTGATTGTGCGACTCCTTTAACAGCTTTAAAAGCCGCTTCTAGAATAGCAGTAAAAGTGCCAGTGATGGCCCCTGACATAATTTGTGTTGTGGACACACTCTGCAAAAACAAATCCCTTAAATGTATCGCTTGTACTTTAGTTCTGTTAACAGTGCTGATCAAAGCAGCCCATGCAGTTAATATGATGGTTTATATGATATTACACGTCTACACAGTTGAATGGTCAATTCTGACAACTAAAACCATTCAATCAGAATGCTGCCAATTCATTGTAAGTTTTGAAATTGTGTGCGTTAAGTTTTGTTTTTAAACATTGTTACTGCTTAATTTCAACTGCTGTTTTTCGAGCTCAAAGAGCTGATATATAAATAATCAATCTCATATTGTTTAAGCTTTCTCGGCACCTATCGAAGTGGGAGAGTATCATCAGTCTTGCGAGAAATCGATCAAAATTACATCAGTATTGTTGCTATAGAAACACTAAGTTCAATATAGCATTCTTACCTTGTAACATTCATACTCATAACGAACGCGTGTAGTCGGTTTGACTTGCCTTTGCAATTTAGTTTCAAGTCCCTAGAACTCAAACGTCTACGCTCTTCGGAATCAAGCTTTTATAGGTGAAAATCAAAGTTTGTGCAGCCCAGTATCAGCCGTTGTCGAGCCCCTCCAAGTCCAAACCGACATATATTTAATTGACAGTCCACACAACCAAGGCTTGCGCTAATCTTTAGCCTCTAGGTTTGACTTAAAAGCAAGGCCCTCTTAATTTAGTTTAAGGTCCCTAGAACTCGAAAATATCGTCACAGTTCTTCCAAATCAAGCTTGTGTTGGTAAAAATCAAAGTCTGCACAGCTCAGTGCCAGCCAGTGTCAAGCCACTCCGAGTCCAAAACGACCTATATTTTACCGGCTATCGTCACATAACCAAGGCGTGCGCTAATCTTTAACTAGACTACGAGTAGTCCCTCTTTCGCTTAGTCCGTCGTGCGTGACGCGAGAGAAAACCGCAAGAAAACATGGCCGCGCGAACTCCTGGGGCAATTAGCACGCGCGTCTCGTCCCCAGTATTTGACGCGGTCATTTTTTCCTCGCGGTTTATTTTAAAAAGAGGGACTACTCGTTGTCTAATCTTTAGCCTGTCGGCTTGACTTATTAATGGAGGGTCTGAATGAGGGTTAGATGACAAAAAATAACTGACAACTGACAAATACCCGAAAATTTAACTGACAACTGACATTTGTAGTCATGTTTATGGACAACTGACATAAAAGGCTTTAGCCATTGTTATTCGTTTGAAATTTACTGAAAATAACTTTTCGGTGGAACCTTTGTAGTTTAATTTGTGTAACCGTTAATAATTAGTAAT